CTTTTAAAATATAAGTAAATGTAAATGTTTTCTTCTGCTAACAAAAACAATACTTATATATATATTTATACCAAAGGAGCAACTGAGAATAATAATGAGAATTTAGTATTATATTATTGTCTAGACTTCTCGACAGAATGGCCACTGTTCTGCTATTACTAATGAGGAACCGACTTGTGACTAATTACACCATATTCTGATATTACACCCTAAGCATTCTCTAAGAGAATACCTATCGAAATGTTCTAGTTACACTGTCAACTAAGGTGATTAACGATATATTTGCCATTTTAGTTTGTCCTACTAATGCATCTCTGTCACTATCCATTTTCAAATTGTCTACAAAATGCAATCGAAGCATTATTTTATTGAACGAATTTCTTTTCGTAGCATCACAGGCATTGTGGCATTGTTTACATCTGGAGATGTTTCCACCCCCCCAAAAAAATATTCTGATTGGTTACTTATTGTAACTAAAAAATAATAATAAAATTCCATCAGAGATTATTACGTTTTCCCTTATTATATTTTATAAAAAAAAATTCCTNATTAGGAATATTTTTATTTTCTTCAAAATTTCTGTTGAGTCGCTTGAATTCTTGATCGAATCCTGATGAAATTTGGTATGAGAATGTGCATCAGATCTATAAAACTATTCTAAAAATTTCAAATCTCCATCTCAAATAGTTTTCGTGATATCTATCGAAAACATCCGAACAAGCGAACGAACAAACTGCTTGCATAAGCTGTTTTCTTCTTTCCTAAATCTCTGAAATTTCCTGTAATAGCTTTCCTAGATTTTTGTACAATTTTTATAATAATATTGTCAAGTGTATAATTATAAACTCTATGATAGAACAATAAAGATATTGCAGCTTCTAATTAAACAATTTAAGATTATAATTCAATAAAGCTAATGAATTAACAAATAAGAATGTTAATCCAAAAATTAGTTAATCATTTAAAAAATTAAATATATTTTTTTAAAAAACGTAACGTTGTTACTGTATGACAAAGACTTTGAAATATCGAAACAATATATTTAACTTACAGAAGTTAAATTACATTTGAAGTTATTGACCTCCATTATCTCAAGAGTTTCATTGGATTATTGGTAATTTTTCTAAAAGATTTAACAAGAATAATACAACAATAGAATAAAGAATATTGATTATTTTCACCTGAAATTATCAATGTTTTATCTTTTTATATCTATTCGTATGGATAATATATTAAAGTATTGATGTTATTAATAACTTTTATACAGTCTGTTTAGTGAAAAANTGTCAAACTTTTAGGCTTACGGGAAAGCGGCGCCGAACGTTACACGTACACGTTTACACGTTTAAAACGTGCGCCTCAACCTCTCTATAGTAAACCACAACGTATTATTTAACAAAATCTTATTTTTTTTTTAAATTAGTAAGTACAGTAGCGCGTCGATTATCCGAAAGTCAATTATCCGAGAGAATTCCAGTCGGCAAATTTGAATTTTCGCCAGTGCTGTGGCGCTGCAATTTTTGGCTATGTTTTGGGCTACTCAAATATTTTACGTTTTTGATACTAAATTAACTTCTGAAGTATAATTTTTTATTGTTTTTATATTTTTCAATATATTTATTTTGTTCGTACAAAATAAAAAAATTATTTTTAACGATACAATAGTCTTCGTTAGGCTTAACATCGACGAAAATTCAACGCAAAGCGACACGCAAAGGAGAAAAATGTCAAGGTGGGATAAATTAATATATTTTTTCGTATATAATCGGTTATCCGAAACATCGATCTACCAAACAACCTCAGTCTCCATTGATTCGGAAAATCGATGCTCTACTGTAGTTTCAACAAGTATAATTGCTAGATAATTGAAGAGTTCAACCAAGTTACCTGATAAAGCTTTTTGCAAATTTGCCATCTCAAATTCCATATTGAAGTGCTAGAAATAAAAAGTCATTATCTACTTAAATTATTATTTTAAAATCTAAAATACTGATGGCAAACACAAGGAAATACAGGGATGCTAGCACCAATATGTTAACGGGCAATACGCAATAGCGGACTATGTTTTTCTGGGGTCTAGGCGCGACTTTTCCACATGGCTTTTTACGTAAAATAAATTTTTTTCTGGCAGACGGACATAATTAAATCTGCCTCTCATATTCTAGGCTAATCATGAAAGTAATTTTTACGTTTTATGTTCTGATTTTTTAAAATAAAGTTTCCATGTTAGATTTCAAACATTTTAGCGCCAAAATGCAAAGGAAAACACTAGCATGCACATAAATAATCCTTTTAATAATACAGTAGACCGCCCTATAACGCGGTAGATACGTTCCGCTTTATAAGAATTTCGCGTTGTAGGAATCCTTAAATACATGAGCCAATCACAGCCCGGCACGTGTGCAGTTTGCGGACTACGGCTTTCTTCCATAAAATTAATCGATTCTAGACTAATTTGACTTAACATATCCAAAACACGTATAATTTATTAGTAATAATTCGTATAAACTATGCTATAAACAAAAAATTGTAGGATTACTTACCGAGTGTGCACTGTTCGACTATGCCATTGTTTAAGCTTCTTTTCGTTGCGGAGCAGCGCACCAAATGGCGGCCGCGGTTTCTGATAAGTTAGTTTTCTGCGAAAAATTCGTTGAACTTTGGAGACATCATTAATAAAAATAATTTTTATGGCCGTTGAAAAAGAAATGTTTTTTCACAAGTAATGTATAAAATTACAGTACTTGTATTAGATTTACAGTACCTAATTTGAGCCTGTATATTGTACAGACGATAGTAAACTCAACTTACCCGCCTGAAGTCTCCGTAGCATGTAAGTAGTTCGGCTGCTCGTCCACTATTTGTCCAGATTCGACCAATCCTCACGCGCACGAGTCGGCGAAGACGTTTTACAACATTTTACGAGTCTCTTTTAGCGTCATTATACGAATACGGTCGCGATTTTTTCGCCGCGATATACGAATTCGCATTACATAAACCCGCGTTATAGGGGAGTCTGTTGTATAATTTACCTTGAGAAAAGATATAGTCCAAAAACCAAAATGACGGCCTTTGCTTAATAACAAAAAAGAATTTTGACATTTTTTGGTACTGTTTTTTGAAATACAGGGTTAGCAAGGAATATGTTTCCAATTTCAGAGAGTGCTATCTACTGCTCAATTAAGACAAAATTTGGACAACGGATAATTTAAATGATGCACTTGACATTTCTAAAATAATAAAAAAATAGTAGAAAAATCTAAATTTAAATGTCGAATATGTAGCTCTAAAACTGCTTAATATGTTTTCCTTTATTTTGAAAAAAACTCTAATCGCAAAACCATATTTTTCACAGCTGAATGCAGTGAGCTGTGAATATCTACTGGAATATCCATAACATGGTGCCAAATGCTGTCCTTCAGATATAGCACAGATGCAGGCCTTCTATGGTAGACGTTGTCCTTCTAGAAACCCCATAACCAAAAGACTAAAGAAGTGATAACCGGTGAGAGAAAAAGCGGCCATGCTGTAAGAAAATAACGGCTGATTACCCGTGCATCTGTAAAATTCTGTCTTAGTATAGTCAAAGAGAACAAGAAAATCAGGTTGGTGGTAATAAAATGTAACGCACCAACTACTAAAGAATATACAAAAGAACATACTAAAGAAGCGATTAATAATGTACATTTCCGAAAAATCAGAACAAAATAATTATGTTGCTCATGATCCAAATAAGATAGTAAATAATTGCAAAACTTGGTTTCAATGAACAATTCAGTAGAAACTGTGGTAGATTTTAAAAGTTTATATTTATCCAGCAATCTAGCATCTTGTTTCAATGCTTTCATTGAATTCATGGTCCAAAACAATACAGTGTTATCGATATACTCGGAAGATTTAAGAAAGTAATTTGTGTGATAATGCAAATCGTTAAGGGTGTTGGCGTAGATAATCACTGTAATATCGTCAGCATAGATGTAGATGTGTGTTAGTGTGTGTTTTCAACGAGAAAGACGTCATGCATTAAAATGGCAAAAATGAAAAAGGACCTTGCGGGATACCTTTACACTTTCTGAATGTAAACTGTCCTCCGACCCAGGGCCTTCTGCCAAAAATACACTTTTTTCCGAAACTAATGCGAATGACACCGAACACTTCACGTGAAGCGACGTGACAATACAAGAATTCGCTCGCCGATTTTTATAGCATCGAGTTACAGACACAACGGTCATAATATTTATCTTTTCCATGACATCATAATACAGTACGTTAACCGAGGTGGCCACGCATGATGCTGAGTAGTCTGTAATCATATGAATTTCCCGTGTTCTTTTAATATGTCTCAAAGACACTAATCAGTACGAGCTGTAAGGATCAATGTGAGATAAAAGAGAACATGTGAAAGTAGATACATTGATCTGATGTCTTTTAGCTGTTGTATTTTGTGCATTGTTAAAACGTTTTAATACTATCTTTATCATAAATAATTGTATTGTTTTAATTTATTTTTACAAATATTATTACTGTGATCCAAGTGTCAATTCTTTCATGATTTTGATGCAAAATAGACAATTCCAGCTCAGGCTAACTCATATATACTCTGTGCGTAGTAAATGACACTTCTCACTTGATAATGTTACATTTCGTTCTCTTACGCTACGTGACATATTGATTTGCATACGTTCTTTAAATTTATGTTTGTATTTACCAGTTCCTTAATGTAAGATTTTAATCATATTCCTATTAATTTCACAATGTTTAATTATCGAATTTTATCATTGCGATTAATTTTATATCAATTGAATGACGATTCGTGTTTTTTAATTTAATATCCTACTTGATTTTAGTTCATACACTACTATATTTTTCGAATTACTACTAGAATTTTAAGAAATTCTAGTAGTAAATTTTACAATTACTACGTATTCTAGAAATTTTATTATTCAAAGATAGAATGGAACTTGTATTGTACTGTATATAAACGCCAGGGTGCGCTTTCTTACTCTGGCAGCGTTAGGCGTGATAATTTTGCTATTGTGCTTTGATTCAAGTGTTGTCTTGTGTGAAAAATGTCAAAGTTTTCGTCTTTGAAAAGAAATTCTTCGCCAGTTCCTCAAGACCTATTACCACGAAATGCAAGAAGACGAATTGAAAGAGAGGAAAATGTCTCAGGTGAGTGAAGGCTTGTCTTACATAAGTGCCGAAAAGGTGATTAACGTTAAAACAACTGTCATGTATGAAGAATATTTGTTTATTAAATGAACATAAACTAGGTTATTTTATCGGAAAACGAAACTAAGCTTTGTAGGCGTAGAATTTTCTATTTCAATCCCATACGAAAACACAAATATGGTGACATGCTCATAAAGTTCTGAGTTATAGCAACTTTAAACTTGAAAGATTAATTACTAACACGATAAATTAATTGTAAGTTGATAGTGTATTTCATTTCGTGTTATCCTGTACTTTGCTAATATGTTAATTTTTTAAAATGTAATAAATTCAGTTTTATGTTACACTTCAACACCCTTCTAGACTATAATTGGTAGGATAAGAATTTCGATTGAGTATTTTATATATGGAATTGTGAAATATTTTGTGTTTGCTGTTTTACGTTGTATTTATATTCTTGGCTGTTATATATAACAGAGGGAAAGTATAGTAATCTGTGAAAAAAGTACCATTGATAATTTTTGGAATTATGAGCTTAAAACATGGAAAAACGCAATGAAATTCTGTGTTTATGTGCTCGTGTGTGAGAAGTATGTTTGTTCACTCTATTCGACGCTCAATAAATTGTTACTTTTGTAGAGATTTTCTGAAATTTTCCTGAGGTTTGTGTGTTAGGGAGATGAATGCTATTAAATTTTGATAGTTAAGGTTGAAAGGTGGGGAAAATATAAGGATATATATAAGGATATTGGTTTTAATTAGTGTGTATTTAAAATGTAAGAAATTATATTGCAATAATTGTGAATTTTATGAAAATTGCTATACATAGCGTTTGTTTATAATGGTTTGATTCTAGACAAGTGTCTGTAAACAGTTTGTTCTTGAATTTTGATGTACTTGAATTGAAATTTACAGGTTTTTTAACTGAGTAATTATACAATGATTTATTGGGCATTTGTAATAATAAGTTAATACTAAAGAAAATACTGGTATCGTGAAGACTCGATACTGGAAAGAAATTAAAATTTTACGTCTTATGAGAAATGCATTTGCAATAATGAAATGAGTCAATAAAAAAATTAAAATTAAAAGAATTTAGAACTGCTGAATACATTCTGATAATAATTATAATAAAAGTACAGCATTCTTTCTAAATATAAATACATCGCATAATAAATTTTAAGACTAAAACTTGATAATGATGATACATGGAAACTTTTATACTAAAATTATCATTACTGTTATTCTACGAATATTTTCGGTCTATTTTATTAAAAGTTTGGCACAAAACGACTGCATAAACAGCTGTTTTAATGAAACCGTTGAGGGGCGGATAAGAGTAAGAGAAAGCTCAGCTTAAAATGTAGGGAAATATTTTTTCGTAAAAAGGTGAGAGAGGTTTTGTTATACATAATTAAAGTATTGACTGATATTTGTACACAAATATAGTTGTGTTATTTATTACACTACTTCATCGGTATTTTTAGTAGAAATTCCAAAAAAGTTTTTTACATTTACATTAAAAAGTAATATATTTGTGTAGGAGATGAATTACGACAACGCGAACAAGATCGAGGTAAAAATTACGAACCTCAGGATGACATTCCATTTAGAGGGAGACAAGAGTCACATCCCCCTTTCTCAATAAACGATGAAAGACCATCAACTAGTACAGATGCAGATAGAACTGCTCCTGGTGAGTGTAGCAGAAACATAAATACATTCAACAGAGGTAACAATAAGTATGCATTTATAAGCTGATAAGTATATACCTATCAGCTTATGTCAGTTCTGAATGATATGATATGAAAATATTTCGCACTTAAACATCCATACTTTTGCTTTAAAATCGATTACAACACATTACATTAAAAAAAATATAAATAATGTTTTTGTTTTCGTTAATTCACGTATAATATTTATATATGAAAGGTGGAGTACAGTTTCGTGATTTTGAACTTGTTGGAGAATTTCCAAATACACAAGAATTACGTTCTTCGATAGCAGCAGAAGATGCAAGAGCAACGACTAGTAGATCGCCTGCAATAATTACACCTGTTGAAAGTATGACAAGACCATCTTTACGTACAGGTAAGTTACAAACAAAATAATTGTTATTAAATATTCTATTTGCAAGTGTGATTTAGTAAAATGTATTCCTTTAGAAAATGTTGCTCTAATGGAACATCCCGATGGAACTCATGAATGTGGACAGTCGTCTTCAGCCATGGCTCCTGCTTGTCTACTGCATTCAAAAACTACAGTCGATATTATTTCGACTGCGATGAAAAGACTGGGTCTAGAGCTAACTTATACTGGGTCTACAAGACATAACTTTGCTAGAAGACCTGGCATTGGCATTAAGGGTAAAAAAATAAATTTACTTGCAAATTATTTTCCAATAGATATACCACACGGAGAAGTGTATCATTATGATGTGGATATTGAAAAGGATCTGCTCATAACAGAAGTAGGTGGTACTGAAAGTAAACCTACGCGTAAAAAGTATAGATGCCAAAATACTAAACTGAAGAGAAGAGTTATTGAAGAAATGATTCGTGAAGTTCCTCTATTCAGAAATATTAGACCGGCATTTGATGGCGAGAAAAACTTGTACACCCGAGAACCGTTGCCGATAAAATACAAAACACTATTTACCGTAAGCATTACGGATGATTTTGATCCCGAAGAAACGACTACATATAAAATTACGATTAAACCTGTTAACATGTCAGACACAGCTGAAAGGTCAAACAACAATTCAATTAGTTTAGAACCATTACACGAGCTGTTAGCGGGTAAATGCAGTGATATAACAGAAAGTATTATTAAGGGAATGGTAGCCATAGAGACCATACTAAGACACGGTCCTGCTCTACATTTGGTTCCAGTTGGAAGGTCATTTTTCATAAATCCTCACATGGATGAAGTTCCTCTATTAGGGGGAGGAAGAGAAATTTGGTTTGGTCATCATCAAAGCATGCGGCTTTGTCAATGGAAGCCCATGCTAAACGTTGATAAATCGGCAACGACATTTTATAGAAGCTGCTCCGTTGTTGAGTTTATGTTTGAAATATTATATCCACGTACTGAGAACTTTGAGTTGGCTGCAAGACAAATGAGATGTCTCACAGATGCTGAAAGAACAACACTAACAAAGGAAATGAAGAATTTGAAAGTTGAAGTAACTCATTTGCCTTATCCCCGAAAATATAAAATTCGAGACATCACAAGGGACAATGCTAACAACATTATTTTTATGAGAAAGATTAATGATAAGGAAACTTTTTGCTCGATATCAGAATATTTTCGGTCCGAATATCAACCATTAAAATATCCTAATTTACCTTGTTTAAATGTGGGAAATAATAAGAAAGATATCTATTTACCATTGGAAGTGTGCAATATTGTAGCAGGTCAGCACAATAATAAGAAATTAACGGACAGACAAACTTCAGATATGATTCGCTACACGGCTCGACCTCCTGCAAAAAAATTCCAGGATATCAAACAGACTGTTAATGCTATGATGCAAGACTTTCAACCATTCTCGAGAGAATTTGGCATTCGTGTAAGTACGGATTTCCTAAAGTGTACAGGCAGAGTATTGGATCCTCCAGAAGTTATGTACGACGGAAGTGAGACCGTCAAACCTTCTAACGGAAGCTGGAATATGGTAAATAAGAAGTTTCACAAAGGAGTGACAATTGGCAACTGGATGCTGCTGAGTTTCTCGGAAAATCGCTTCTGTAACGAAGCAGTGTTAAGAAAGTTAGTTAATATGCTAATAGAAAATGGTAGAAATGTAGGGGTAGATTTTGCAGATCCATTGAAAGTGAGAGGCTTCACACGTATTGATGGAAAGCCGGGAGATATATTAAGGCAAGCTAAAAAGATGGAGCCTGAATTGGAATTAGCAGTAATAGTATTACCAGCAGAAGATATTTATTCTGAAGTTAAAACAGTTGCAGAAACGGAATTAGGACTTATGACACAATGTGTAAAAGATGCAAACCTTGTGGATGGCAGAAAGTTTAATGCACAGCTCATACGTAATATATGTCAAAAAATTAATGCAAAAATGGGTGGGGTTAACAATTCATTAGCACTGGAGTACAGACCTCAAATTATGAAGAGACCTGCTATGATTGTGGGTATCGATTGTAATCATCCCGCTCCTGGTGACAAAGTTGGATACTCGATCGCAGCAGTAGTAGGAAGTTTAGATGCTTATTGTGGAAAATTTAAAGCGTCCATTCGTGTTCAGCATAAGAAACAGAAAATAGGCGGACAGAGGTTTGGACAAGATATTGTTGTCGAGCTGAAGGAAATGATGAAGGAACTTTTCAAGGCATTCTACAAATATACTGGAGGAAAAAAACCACAAAAAATTATTGTTTATAGAGACGGGGTTAGCGAAGGCGAATTTCAAAAAGTGATGGATTACGAAATGAGAGAAATTAGAAAGGCGTGTGAAGAAATGGCACGTGGTGAGACCTACCGACCTCCCATCACTTTTATCATAACTGGAAAACGTCATCACACGCGTTTTCTTCCCGAAAATCGAAGAGACGGTGTGGGCAGACCGGGAAACGTTCCACCCGGTACTACGGTGGATACGGCTGTAGTACATCCTGTGCTGTATGATTTTTACTTATGCAGTCATATTGGAATACATGGTACCAGCAGACCCGCTCATTATACGGTTCTATGGGACGATAACGACTTCACGGCAGATGAGCTACAAGTGTTAACTTACTACCTGTGCCACACGTATGCCAGATGCACCAGGAGCATATGTATACCCTGTGCCGTTAAGTACGCCGATCTGGCAGCTTCCAGAGCCAAGGAATATCTGATAGAGAAAACCGAGGGTATGTCAAGTTCTGGTAGTAAAGTGTCGGAACGTGAAAAAGTAATTATTGAAGAAAGCATTAAAGAAGCCATAAAAGTAGTTGACGAAATAGAAAATAGAATGTATTTTGTGTAAATTTTGATAAAATACACATTCTTGCAAACAAATGGCACAGTATTTTAGTAAAATTATTTAGGACTGTTTTAATTTACCAACGTTTATTTGAAAATTTCATAGTTTTCCTTGAATGTTTCATAATAAATAATATAAGATATAAACACTTTGTAAGAACTTTTATATACTTGCTTTGTAAATCTGTGTTTATAATGTAATGAGTAAAAATGTTTTTATGGTGCGTGTTAGCCATGAAAATATATGTATTTAACTTTCTTTTACATTATATAATTTAAAAATTTTATACCTGAAATTAGCCTAAAACGTTGGAGTAGACCACATTTTTGTATACGCTTCAACATCGCCAAAATATTAATTAATAGTTCTCAACTTTTTCAGTAATTAGGTGTGAATTTCCTTTATGCTTTTATTTATTACTGTATATTTTTTATAATTTTGTTGTCTACTATATGTTTACTTTGATAAATTTTTGTATCATGTCTTCAATAATTACAATGTTTTAATTTACAATTAAGCGCTGTTTACTTTAATTACGTGTATGATTTTTTACTTATTTTTCTTCTATGTTTATCATGAACTGTATTTACTTTCTAAGGTATAGCAAATAAAATATCACTTTTTATATATTGTATGAAGGAATTACTTACTTTATTTATAATAGCTTGAAGATTCGAGAATAATTATAAATATTAAGTTCACAGTAGATTACATTGGCTCGTTCCTATACGTGGTGTTCTCAATCAAATTTTTCACATGTCATTATATAATAATAAAATTTATTTTTGTTTTTTATTCGAATTTAAAACCAAAAACGAAGTGATTTATATCAATAAATAATGAACAATTAAACAATATTGTAAGTGCGATTGTCGTCCTTCGTGGAAAAGCGCGAGGAATCCATAAACTTGTTTCAAAGAATCAGCAATGAACTTTGGGCTTGCATTAATTTGTTATAATTAAACATGCGAGTTTCATATTAATGTAGTAAAATTAAACATTTATGATTATTATTCTACAGATTTTCTATCGTTTAAAGAAATTCATGATAATTGTTTGCGAGATTCAAAATTGTGACTTTAGTGGTCCGTGAGGTGAGAAAGGTTACCGATCGCTTATTTAAACTTATTGTCATTGTTGTTCGTAAAATATTTTCAATTATATTATATGCTCATACCATAATGTGAGAACCGAGGGGGTTAGTTGTCCCCACTTACAGGCGGCTCTGTCAGAGGATGGCTTTATAGAAGGGCAAAATAAAATGAGTGGGGAGGTTAATAAGCAAGTTGACAGGTTCCCAAATGAATACACAGGTTGAACAAGAATAACACATTTAATAAACAACTATAAAATTGTACATATCAAAGGCTAAGGTGAAGATCTAGCCTTTGATATGTACAATTTTATAGTTGCTTATTTTTCTATTCTATTCTATGTCGCGACAATGATTCGTCTTTTATATGAAACATCTAATCTCTATTCTCAAAGTTAAGAGACGACAGAGAGATCTCTAGGGGAGAGATTTCTCAGAGAGAGAGTACACAAATAGATATTCAAAAAATTCCTCTATGTTCCCGATCCGTAATATGTGTCGTTGGTAAAAACGTTCCTGGATCGACACAGCAGTTATGGCGATATTAGTCAGTAGATGTGTCAGGCGGTGTCCGCCTTGTGAATGTCCGCCTTGCGGACTGCGTCCAAGCCCTCTTTATACTATTTTTGAGGGGGTGAGAACTATGACATCATTAATGAATTATACGCACACCTGTTCGTGTGTTGATGTCTGGATCTAGCTTGTACGGATCACTGGCACAGAGAAGTTTGTTTAATTTATTGACGTCAGTGTCTAGAAGATATGATTTTATAATATAAATTTCTATAGGTTTGACGGATCTCATCCATAAATTAACATTCATCTGACAATAATTCTTTTAACCTGGTCAATTATCTAGATATTGTTTATATCAAACGTCGCGTTTGACAACGAACGAGGCGATTTATTGCTGTAACCAGGTGTCACGTGCAACCAAAGAGGGGGTAAAAAACATCTCTTATTCCCGTCTTGTTGATATTAACGTGTATAGAATTACCTTTAAACAAATGGAGGAGATTTCTTTTATTGATATACTAACGACTTTTTTCGAGGAGATCGTCTCGGTCATCGACCGCAGAAGTCCCTCGTTATCCCTTTTTACCTAATCACGAAGTTTATTAGAAAGGTGATACTGTTCTAAAACAAAAGGGTTTTAGACCGTCACAATAAACTTAATAAGAAATTACGCCACTGTAGCCCATAACTATATCATTTTCATTAACTGGATATCAAATTTGTTTTATATAATTCTATTTACAACATAATTTGTATACTGCAATATCCCAGAAAATTACTAAATTCATTAAAACAAGCAACGATTAATTCAGTTTAGTAGTCAGAACATTTTAAGATTCTTTATAATATGTGTTTTTCCCCATAAGCTCAACGCAGGTATTAAATCATAATAATAAGATTAATAACACAAGAACATAAAGAGTTTATACATCTGTTGTTTCACATTCTCTCGCGTATATATTACACGACAATGGAACAATTGTTTAAAACTGTTTTCGTTTTCACAGTGAATTTCAGGCAGTGACTTAGAAACGTTCAACATTATTTTTTTTCTAGTTATATTATAACTTTAGTTTACATGCTTTTTTGTGACCTGAGTCATTGATAAACAAGATGATAGTCCTTGTAGAGAGGTAGACACATACACAAGAGTTCTGGTCTTCGGGGATATTTCGAAGAGAAGAGAAGATTTTCAATCTGTTACGGGAGTAGGAGTTGAGGAACTGAAGTATAACCTGGTGAAGAGGATATTCCTATTTTAGACACACTAATTATATTATTCCGTTTTAGGAGGCATTAATATAGGCGATGATTATATATTTCGAATTGAAAGAAGATCAGAAGGTTGCGGAAAAGTGTCTTTTTTTACACTGAGAACGTGTAGGAAGAGATGCAGTCAGGTGTGAAAGTTGACAGATATCGCTGCCTGCAGAGTTACGTTGTATACTATTAAAAACGATAGTACTTTGTTTTATTATTCAGTTTAAACTGTTTAATTTGGAGTCCTGTTCTCACACTATTACACGAGAAAAAGTTTTAAAAACAATTCGTCACCGTGTTAGCAACGAAGATAATACATTTGTGTCGCCATCTGTCGCTTCAAAATTATAACACTTTTCAATAAAAACAATTACAAACATGTAGATGTGAAGCATGTTTTTAATATAATATAAAAACATTAAATTCATACACATATTACATTGTCAATTGTAAGCATAATAAAAAATGTAAAAATTAAAATATTATTATAAATGTTTCATAAACAATGTACTGGTATTCATTAACTGAATCTGTAGGAGTATAACAAATCACTGAATGCTGGTATTTGTTCACGGGTTCCTACTTTACCAACGAGTTGGCCACATAAAAATTTACGCAGGTCTTCTTCCTGTTTCTATTTCATACGTAGGATGAAATAGAAACAGGAGCCAGTTTACATAGAAATAGAAATAGGAGCCAGTTTACATAGAAAGTCGCCATGAGAAGTATCTCCTTTGGCATATTGTCCATTGTTGCATAGACATGTTCCATCAAACAAATCAAAATTTTCAAATAAAGAAACAGGCCTATCTCCTGTGCTACGTAAATTACACAATTAAAAGTGAATGGTTTAAACATGCTAGTGATATGTCTAGAATATAATAGATTTACTGAAGTAATCAAGTTAACTTCTTGTACAGCATCTGGTTCCTACCTTACAAGAAAGTTGTTGAAGACTACTGCTTTTATACGAGATGGGGCAACATCTTATACTGCTTGACAAACGAAGAAACTGCTTTGTGTGAAATTTAGTGATGGCAGTATCGTCTTTAGAGACTTACCAGATACACGGTCTGTTCTTCACTGGACTTCAGCCCTTGTCACTTCTGGATGTGGAGTTTCCTAAGACCGAGTTTTTTCTGATAATGTACATTCTGTGCTCCGCTGAAGGTCTTTATAATGCAGCAATATTTTTATCTAAATGCTTTTTACAACTATCAATAAATCACGCCATGTTATAGTAGAAGCTATAATATTGAAAATTTAACTGAATTGACTGTTTTAATGCCGGATTTAGCCAGGACGACTCTTGAATAATCAATTTGCTGCGTTATTTACTCCCAGTTCTACCCTGCGGTACATCTAATAAGAACTAATTAGAATTCGATTTTCATTCATTGAATTATATATAATTCATTACTATATAAATATTACTTAATATATAACAAAATTAAAAAATCTTTCTGATTTATATCGATTTTTATAATGTAGTGTATCAAAAAGTCACTTGCGAAGTTGGGAAAGAGTACATATTGCAAATTACAGAATAAAGTTACTGTAAATGTCTAATGGCGTTTAATACAGTCAGTGGGACAGTTTGATGTGACTAGAGTGCGTATGGAGTACTGTACAGTACATCACAACACTCAGCAATTTTCATATTTAAAATATCTTATGCGCACTCGAATACAGTGTTTGTACACGACAAATTCGTGTGTCATCGCTGCGAGAGTCACATGTGGATTATTGTGAAGAAAGTTACTAACTCTCTCCTTCAACTCGTTGAGGGAGGCAAGCGATGCCTGGAAGACATGTTGCTTCACATGATCACACAAGAAAAAATTCATAAGGGTTAAGTCAGTGTAGAAGCCATTAATTAATATGGGCCACTGTGATCTATCCTGGAAACATTACATTTAAGTCTTTCCTAAACAAATAAAACAAAGTGAGCTATTGCACCATCCTCCTGAAACTAAAGTTACTGTCATTAACTCAGGGTAAGATCATCCTGAAAACCCAGCAGTGGCATTCAGCATGTTTCCATATGTGTATGTTTTACATTATTTACAAATACGTACAGACCAACAGTAATATTTCCCAGGATAGACAATCCTTGGAGCCCATTTGGTAAGCGATTTTTTGGGCACACTGCATTTAACATTTCTAATTGTAAAGTAACTTCATTACAGTAGGTGTCATTTTAAAACTCCTCTGGGATATTTTACAGATATTTACATTAAAAAATTTTTAATACATTCTGAATGAAAATAATTAAAACATTAACTTGTATTCGTTTGTTTAAATCAATTCATATTATTTAACATGTTTAGAAGTTATTAGTTATTATCAATTATGTAAATTGTCGAAATTAAATTAATTTAAATTAATCATGTAAACACGACAGTCTGATAATGATTAAATTCACAGTATTATATTAATGTCTTCTGGTAAGATATTAATTTACAGTTTAATTACAAGTGAATTAATGCATTGGTTAGAATTTCATATTTGGGATTATTTGCTCGAATGGTTAACTTTCAACTTTGCTACACGAATTGTATATTGAAATAGAAGAATCATACGTTCATTGTACGAAATTCATATTTTTTCANTCCACCCGGTACTACGGTGGATACGGCTGTAGTACATCCTGTGCTGTATGATTTTTACTTATGCAGTCATATTGGAATACATGGTACCAGCAGACCCGCTCATTATACGGTTCTATGGGACGATAACGACTTCACGGCAGATGAGCTACAAGTGTTAACTTACTACCTGTGCCACACGTATGCCAGATGCACCAGGAGCATATGTATACCCTGTGCCGTTAAGTACGCCGATCTGGCAGCTTCCAGAGCCAAGGAATATCTGATAGAGAAAACCGAGGGTATGTCAAGTTCTGGTAGTAAAGTGTCGGAACGTGAAAAAGTAATTATTGAAGAAAGCATTAAAGAAGCCATAAAAGTAGTTGACGAAATAGAAAATAGAATGTATTTTGTGTAAATTTTGATAAAATACACATTCTTGCAAACATATGGCACAGTATTTTAGTAAAATTATTTAGGACTGTTTTAATTTACCAACGTTTATTTGAAAATTTCATAGTTTTCCTTGAATGTTTCATAATAAATAATATAAGATATAAACACTTTGTAAGAACTTTTATATACTTGCTTTGTAAATCTGTGTTTATAATGTAATGAGTAAAAATGTTTTTATGGTGCGTGTTAGCCATGAAAATATATGTATTTAACTTTCTTTTACATTATATAATTTAAAAATTTTATACCTGAAATTAGCCTAAAACGTTGGAGTAGACCACATTTTTGTATACGCTTCAACATCGCCAAAATATTAATTAATAGTTCTCAACTTTTTCAGTAATTAGGTGTGAATTTCCTTTATGCTTTTATTTATTACTGTATATTTTTTATAATTTTGTTGTCTACTATATGTTTACTTTGATAAATTTTTGTATCATGTCTTCAATAATTACAATGTTTTAATTTACAATTAAGCGCTGTTTACTTTAATTACGTGTATGATTTTTTACTTATTTTTCTTCTATGTTTATCATGAACTGTATTTACTTTCTAAGGTATAGCAAATAAAATATCACTTTTTATATATTGTATGAAGGAATTACTTACTTTATTTATAATAGCTTGAAGATTCGAGAATAATTATAAATATTAAGTTCACAGTAGATTACATTGGCTCGTTCCTATACGTGGTGTTCTCAATCAAATTTTTCACATGTCATTATATAATAATAAAATTTATTTTTGTTTTTTATTCGAATTTAAAACCAAAAACGAAGTGATTTATATCAATAAATAATGAACAATTAAACAATATTGTAAGTGCGATTGTCGTCCTTCGTGGAAAAGCGCGAGGAATCCATAAACTTGTTTCAAAGAATCAGCAATGAACTTTGGGCTTGCATTAATTTGTTATAATTAAACATGCGAGTTTCATATTAATGTAGTAAAATTAAACATTTATGATTATTATTCTACAGATTTTCTATCGTTTAAAGAAATTCATGATAATTGTTTGCGAGATTCAAAATTGTGACTTTAGTGGTCCGTGAGGTGAGAAAGGTTACCGATCGCTTATTTAAACTTATTGTCATTGTTGTTCGTAAAATATTTTCAATTATATTATATGCTCATACCATAATGTGAGAACCGAGGGGGTTAGTTGTCCCCACTTACAGGCGGCTCTGTCAGAGGATGGCTTTATAGAAGGGCAAAATAAAATGAGTGGGGAGGTTAATAAGCAAGTTGACAGGTTCCCAAATGAATACACAGGTTGAACAAGAATAACACATTTAATAAACAACTATAAAATTGTACATATCAAAGGCTAAGGTGAAGATCTAGCCTTTGATATGTACAATTTTATAGTTGCTTATTTTTCTATTCTATTCTATGTCGCGACAATGATTCGTCTTTTATATGAAACATCTAATCTCTATTCTCAAAGTTAAGAGACGACAGAGAGATCTCTAGGGGAGAGATTTCTCAGAGAGAGAGTACACAAATAGATATTCAAAAAATTCCTCTATGTTCCCGATCCGTAATATGTGTCGTTGGTAAAAACGTTCCTGGATCGACACAGCAGTTATGGCGATATTAGTCAGTAGATGTGTCAGGCGGTGTCCGCCTTGTGAATGTCCGCCTTGCGGACTGCGTCCAAGCCCTCTTTATACTATTTTTGAGGGGGTGAGAACTATGACATCATTAATGAATTATACGCACACCTGTTCGTGTGTTGATGTCTGGATCTAGCTTGTACGGATCACTGGCACAGAGAAGTTTGTTTAATTTATTGACGTCAGTGTCTAGAAGATATGATTTTATAATATAAATTTCTATAGGTTTGACGGATCTCATCCATAAATTAACATTCATCTGACAATAATTTCTTTAACCTGGTCAACTATCTAGATATTGTTTATATCAAACGTCGCGTTTGACTACGAAGGAGGCGATTTATTGCCGTAACCACGTGTCACGTGCAACCAAAGAGGGGGTAAAAACATCTCTTATTCCCGTCTTGTTGATATTAACGTCTATAGAATTACCTTTAAACAAATGGAGGAGATTTCGTTTATTGATATACTAACGATTTTTTTCGAGGAGATCGTCTCGGTCATCGACCGCAGAAGTCCCTCGTTTTCCCTTTTTCCCTAATCACGAAGTTTATTAGAAAGGTGATACTGTTCTAAAACAAAAGGGTTTTAGACCGTCACAATAAACTTAATAAGAAATTACGCCACTGTAGCCCATAACTATATCATTTTCATTAACTGGATATCAAATTTGTTTTATATAATTCTATTTACAACATAATTTGTATACTGCAATATCCCAGAAAATTACTAAATTCATTAAAACAATCAACGATTAATTCAGTTTAGTAGTCAGAACATTTTAAGATTCTTTATAATATGTGTTTTTCCCCATAAGCTCAACGCAGGTATTAAATCATAATAATAAGATTAATAACACAAGAACATAAAGAGTTTATACATCTGTTGTTTCACATTCTCTCGCGTATATATTACACGACAATGGAACAATTGTTTAAAACTGTTTTCGTTTTCACAGTGAATTTCAGGCAGTGACTTAGAAACGTTCAACATTATTTTTTTTCTAGTTATATTATAACTTTAGTTTACATGCTTTTTTGTGACCTGAGTCATTGATAAACAAGATGATAGTCCTTGTAGAGAGGTAGACACATACACAAGAGTTCTGGTCTTCGGGGATATTTCGAAGAGAAGAGAAGATTTTCAATCTGTTACGGGAGTAGGAGTTGAGGAACTGAAGTATAACCTGGTGAAGAGGATATTCCTATTTTAGACACACTAATTATATTATTCCGTTTTAGGAGGCATTAATATAGGCGATGATTATATATTTCGAATTGAAAGAAGATCAGAAGGTTGCGGAAAAGTGTCTTTTTTTACACTGAGAACGTGTAGGAAGAGATGCAGTCAGGTGTGAAAGTTGACAGGTATCGCTGCCTGCAGAGTTACGTTGTATACTATTAAAAACGATAGTACTTTGTTTTATTATTCAGTTTAAACTGTTTAATTTGGAGTCCTGTTCTCACACTATTACACGAGAAAAAGTTTTAAAAACAATTCGTCACCGTGTTAGCAACGAAGATAATACATTTGTGTCGCCATCTGTCGCTTCAAAATCATAACACTTTTCAATAAAAACAATTACAAACATGTAGATGTGAAGCATGTTTTTAATATAATATAAAAACATTAAATTCATACACATATTACATTGTCAATTGTAAGCATAATAAAAAATGTAGAAATTAAAATATTATTATAAATGTTTCATAAACAATGTACTGGTATTCATTAACTGAATTTGTAGGAGTATAACAAATCACTGAATGCTGGTATTTGTTCACGGGTTCCTACTTTACCAACGAGTTGGCCACATAAAAATTTACGCAGGTCTTCTTCCTGTTTCTATTTCATACGTAGGATGAAATAGAAACAGGAGCCAGTTTACATAGAAATAGAAATAGGAGCCAGTTTACATAGAAAGTCGCCATGAGAAGTATCTCCTTTGGCATATTGTCCATTGTTGCATAGACATGTTCCATCAAACAAATCAAAATTTTCAAATAAAGAAACAGGCCTATCTCCTGTGCTACGTAAATTACACAATTAAAAGTGAATGGTTTAAACATGCTAGTGATATGTCTAGAATATAATAGATTTACTGAAGTAATCAAGTTAACTTCTTGTACAGCATCTGGTTCCTACCTTACAAGAAAGTTGTTGAAGACTACTGCTTTTATACGAGATGGGGCAACATCTTATACTGCTTGACAAACGAAGAAACTGCTTTGTGTGAAATTTAGTGATGGCAGTATCGTCTTTAGAGACTTACCAGATACACGGTCTGTTCTTCACTGGACTTCAGCCCTTGTCACTTCTGGATGTGGAGTTTCCTAAGACCGAGTTTTTTCTGATAATGTACATTCTGTGCTCCGCTGAAGGTCTTTATAATGCAGCAATATTTTTATCTAAATGCTTTTTACAACTATCAATAAATCACGCCATGTTATAGTAGAAGCTATAATATTGAAAATTTAACTGAATTGACTGTTTTAATGCCGGATTTAGCCAGGACGACTCTTGAATAAGCAAGTTGCTGCGTTATTTACTCCCAGTTCTACCCTGCGGTACATCTAATAAGAACTAATTAGAATTCGATTTTCATTCACTGAATTATATATAATTCATTACTATATAAATATTACTTAATATATAACAAAATTAAAAAATCTTTCTGATTTATATCGATTTTTATAATGTAGTGTATCAAAAAGTCACTTGCGAAGTTGGGAAAGAGTACATATTGCAAATTACAGAATAAAGTTACTGTAAATGTCTAATGGCGTTTAATACAGTCAGTGAGACAGTTTGATGTGACTAGAGTGCGTATGGAGTACTGTACAGTACATCACAACACTCAGCAATTTTCATATTTAAAATATTTTATGCGCACTCGAATACAGTGTTTGTACACGACAAATTCGTGTGTCATCGCTGCGAGAGTCACATGTAGATTATTGTGAAGAAGTTACTAACTCTCTCCTTCAACTCGTTGAGGGAGGCAAGCGATGCCTGGAAGACATGTTGCTTCACATGATCACACAAGAAAAAATTCATAAGGGTTAAGTCAGTGTAGAAGCCATTAATTAATATGGGCCACTGTGATCTATCCTGGAAACATTACATTTAAGTCTTTCCTAAACAAATAAAACAAAGTGAGCTATTGCACCATCCTCCTGAAACTAAAGTTACTGTCATTAACTCAGGGTAAGATCATCCTGAAAACCCAGCAGTGGCATTCAGCATGTTTCCATATGTGTATGTTTTACATTATTTACAAATACGTACAGACCAACAGTAATATTTCCCAGGATAGACAATCCTTGGAGCCCATTTGGTAAGCGATTTTTTGGGCACACTGCATTTAACATTTCTAATTGTAAAGTAACTTCATTACAGTAGGTGTCATTTTAAAACTCCTCTGGGATATTTTACAGATATTTACATTAAAAAATTTTTAATACATTCTGAATGAAAATAATTAAAACATTAACTTGTATTCGTTTGTTTAAATCAATTCATATTATTTAACATGTTTAGAAGTTATTAGTTATTATCAATTATGTAAATTGTCGAAATTAAATTAATTTAAATTAATCATGTAAACACGACAGTCTGATAATGATTAAATTCACAGTATTATATTAATGTCTTCTGGTAAGATATTAATTTACAGTTTAATTACAAGTGAATTAATGCATTGGTTAGAATTTCATATTTGGGATTATTTGCTCGAATGGTTAACTTTCAACTTTGCTACACGAATTGTATATTGAAATAGAAGAATCATACGTTCATTGTACGAAATTCAGATTTTTTTTTTCACAGGTGTGGGCAATCTGGCCTACATGCAAGATGTAATACAGTAGAGCCTCGAAAACTCGGCACTCGATAACCCGGCACTCCGGATAACTCGGTCACACCCTAACAGGGCAAAAATAACCTTAGATAATTAATTTTCATCATAGGCAGCTTTATGCCTCATAAAGTATTTTTCTGAGGTCTGTCTTATCACGTAAATAACTGTACACTATGTATTCATTAATTTTCATTTTCATGTAGTAAAGGCTCTATGCCTTCATAAAGTACGTACTTTTCTTTTGTTTAAGGGTATTTGCGCAGTTTATTCTCTGTTGTATTCTCAAGCAAACAATACATACAAGTACAGTACAATATTTTCTGAGGAAACATTCATACTTACCTTTTTTTAACCCCATTCCTGATAACCCGGCATTTTCACAAACTCGGCCACCCTTCGGTCCACATTAGGCCGAGTTTTCGAGGCTCTACTGTAATTGTGTTTTAATGTCCTATGATTTGTTTAAGATATATTACATATAAATGATTGATTGATAAATGATTGGATTGATATAAATAAACTATACATTATGTGTAACTACTTTAAATTCTTTATTAATCATTTAATGCCACATTGTGACAATATGTAATAGTGCACATATTTTATGTGCATAGTTTGCCTATGTGCTCAAAATACAGTGCAATATGAGTCAAAACATACAAATTATTTTGTTTTTTTTTTGCAGTCATGGATATCATCAATGGAAACATAAATTTTCATTTGTAGTTTTCGTTTCGATATCTGATTCTTTACCGCACGGATTATAAATGCAGATTTCTTTAAAAAATTACAAATTATTTGTTAGATGATTTGCCTGAATGCCTTTTTTCTTCGTCTATGGAGTTATGGCAAAAATTAATGAATCGATCCACGAGAGGCATATCAAGCTGTGTCTGATTCATGTGGTGAAGGTTATATAAATCATTACGTGAATTGATGTAGATGTATTTTTCAATGAAAGGATCCACATTTTAAACGCAGTTATGTAAGTAAAGAAAAACTCAAAATGGCAGAATTCAAATGAAACATTCTAGCCATAACACGTGTTAACTGCTTTTCTTGTTTCATTGAGCACTTTTTTTATCCGTAAGACCATATCTGGAGGTAGCTTCAATCACATCCAACTCGTAGCACCAAAGATTCCAGCCTGCACAATAAAGGCAGTGATTAGTGGCTTCCTAAAGAGATCCATTATCACACATCTGTGCGGTAATTATATCTGTTGTTGATAACAGTGTCGTAGTGTGCATGAATGCTGCAATTAATGTCAATGGGCGATCTTATATCTGTTGCAGGATAAAAATTCCCCACCTGTCTGCTGGCAAAAGAAGGGCTGTGTTCTAGTTGACGTAACTGCATCGTCAGACCTTGTGTCTGAGATATAGACTTCTTTACTCTTCTGTGACGTTTGTATACCATGCTACTGATGACGATAATCAGTATAACAATTCCAACAGCTACGCCAGATCCAATCAACAGGGGTATTCTACCTATACAAAGAATTACATACGTAATTATTTTAACTATTTAACAGAGAATAATGTCAAATTTTCCACTTACATTTATCTTCATCACTTAAATCGTCTTCGCTACAGTTTGGTAATCCGTCACAAACTAGTGATTGGTCTATACAATATTGAGGTGTCACTTTGCAAGTCTGGGTTACAGAATTTAAACAATATTGACTTTCCTTGCATACAAACTGAGTGCACGGCTCTACACAAAAGTTTAAATCTTTATTTTTATCAATAAAATATAAATTATTACACGAAAAAATGTACTTGAAAATACTAAATTACCACCAAAATTAAACGTCACAGCTGTCCACACTAATTTAAATCCGATTTTCTTATCAGGGGTCCCTAATACATCTGACGTAACTGAAGTTTTAAATCTATAAGTGTAAAATTTTTAAGTATTTTCTATAAAATATGTAAATAATATTATGAAAAATTACCTTATGAGTAACCTGTTTCTAATAGAGAGCTGTGTTTTCTCTTCAACATTTTTATAATATTTCAAATCTCCACAGAATTTCTTTAAAATATTTGGATTATATACAAAACTAGAATAACCATCATATATAGATAACTCTGCATCTTCACAATTCGCTGAAAAATATTTTAAAAATTATGTATTTGTATAAAGCTAATATATAAAATATTTTAAATTATAATAAAAACAACTCTGTAAAGTACAGTCGACCCCCCTATAACACTGTTGATTTTTCCGTTTTATATGAATTCCATGTTGTACGAGTCACTTAGATTTTACAAATACGTGAGCCGTTCACAGCCCGGCACACGTATTTGTAAAATCTAAGTGACTCGTACAACATGGAATTCATATAAAACGGAAAAATCAAGTGTTATAGAGGGTGGGGTCGACTATACAAAGAAATATACAAAGTAAATCGGCATATATATTGATTAACTCATTTATCTTGAGTTAGGCCATCCAGAATTTTCTTAAAGTTTAATTATTGAATATTATACTGTTTACTATTACCAATAAGTTTATCTTATGACCTATAACAAAATGGTTGTGTATTATATATTACACGGCGTATTGTAAGCAATAATTTTTTCTCATCCATTGTTTTGGTTTTCTGTTCGGTCAATATTCTTCATCTACATCTGTTACTCCAGTAGCTTCCTCATAATTATTTTTTACTGTTACTATATTATTTTTTTCTCCTCAGTTTTCGATATGTCGTACTTTCATCTTCTTCTGAATCCTGTCCAAGCCGTTTATATCTTGTAATTCTTTTTTAGTATTTGATTTAATGGCATTTTCTTCGTATGTCCTCGCCCTGAACTTACTTTTAAATCTTTTCTGTAATCTTTCCACTTTAACACTCCATCTAACCTCTTGATATGTCGTTCTACCTTCTTGTTTAACTGGTATAAATCTCACAAAATTCATTTTCTTCTGTATTTTATAATTATTTTTTATTGTATTACGGATTGGTATACATTTTAGACAATATCGCCTTACATATCAACACGTTTCTATTGTTTCCTGTCTTACCATTTTTGGCAGGAAAATGACCACTTCAAAAACTTTAAACTGATTTATATGACTATTAATACCGAAATTTTTATGACTGATTAATGACATTAATTTCATTAATTTTAAAGTCACTCTAATTGCATTGTTCTCAAGTAAGAATCAGTAACAATAGTCACATAATGAAATCATTTTGTTATCCTTTGTGACTTGCCGAATATATCTAATTATCTAATCTTTATTCGGTTATCCGCGATAGAAATATCAAATATGCTACTTTATCAATTTAATTTACTGTTCAGTAGCCAAGAAAAAAAGATATAATTCACGGTTTGACGTGTTCAAACGCACGACTGGCTACCGTTCACGCTTGATGAATGGTAACTGTACCATTCACAAAGATTTTGTTTCAACCGGTAGATCATACACGACTAAGAGAACGGTTGGCATATTATCCAAGTAGCAAGTTAGAAGTGTCATTACATTCTTTGAACATTACATCAATATATCTTACTTTGTTGCAGCATCAATCTTGCAAGACAATTGACAATGTTATATCAAAACAATTGTTTCTTGTCTGGAATGTTAAATTGTTTTATAAACCAAACAACAGAAAATGAAAGTATAATAAGTTTTCGTCTATTTTCTAAAACTTAACATCAAAATTCTTACTACAAAGACTGCGAAATATGTATGTAAATTAACAGAACGTGTTGGTGAATATATAAGAAATACAACTCACCTATACTTCCATACAGTTGTAACTCTAATATACGGATATATATATGTTGATTAGTGTTAACTCTTATTAACCATACACATTCTACATCTTTAGGAAAAGAATGAGGATACCCGGGAGAACTAATTATTCCACCAACACCCGATTCGGTTCCTCCGCATCCTTTAACTCCGCTTGTTGACAATGGTGGAGGAATGAGAGCTAGAAAACAATAAATATAATTACTTAAACACACAAAATCACACAATTAAGGCACTTTATTTGTTTAAAAAATGTTATGTAACGGGCTTAAAATGCTTTAAGATACTATGTAATGTATTAGTAACAGCGTGCAAACTATACAAATTTAACAAAATAACTTTTTATTTTTTAAAATTTCGAAATACCGCAATTGAATGCTGTTCCACTTTAGAATGTAAGGCTGATAGACAATACAAAATTTAAATTGTGCCATGAAAAAGACTAGAATACTAGATTCGGTTGCTGAAAAACGTATCCTTTGATATATTTCTTCAGAAATATATAAGAAAAGTCGACTTACTTTCATCTTTAAATTCGTATATTCCATGAAATCCCCGGTGGTGAATGATGTGATTTGTGCGAAATATGATTTCTGCTCTCGGATGCATTGTTATCATAGGTGTCGGGATTTCTGAACCACAATAACGTCCTATCAGCTCTTTGACATTGAAAAAGGTTATAGAAGAAATATCCACATAATCAGTTAGACATCTACAAGAGAAAAATATGTAAATATTTTCAATTACTATTCAAAATTAAAAGTACAGTACAAAGTAACACACTTTACAACTGATGGGACACAATCACGTTGTTTTGTTTGACAGGACATGTTAACTTAACACACGGACGATCTGCTTTCTGAGAAGAATTTCTACTAGAAACTGGCCCATATTTAAGTATTAAACACGTAAAGACAACACAGAAAAACTCTGTGTTGGTCAGGCGCGATCCCTGACCCCTTATGGTTTTATCCACTCTGACGCGAAAATTTTATTTATAATGCTGTAAAGAGACGACATATAAAATGCAATACACTTTTAATGCCAATTTATAATTAAAAAACCGAAAATTGACATAGGTTTGTTTACAAAAAAAAATCAATTTTGTTGTGAGAAGCGTATGGACCGCTTTTTGCCGGAGCTTCATTTATAAAAAGTATGTCAAAAAATAAATGATCGAGTAGTTTGTTTATCAAAATTGAAGTTTTATCTCCATAATTATCAGCAGAGATTTTCTACATAACTTACGACTTCTATAAATACATAAATAACTTAATATCTATGGTTTATTAATCCCGAACGTTACCTGTTGTACGCTGGAAATATCGATCGTTCGTGAACAGTTCATTAAGCTAAAGAAATACAACTACACAGCTTGTTGTAATAATTATTATGAATTTTTTAAATATTTTTGCAACAATTAATTAAAAAATTTCGTAATAAAATCACAAATAACGATTAAACGTAATTCAAAACTTAATTAAAGTGTTGCCATTTTATTCAATAAACAACGTCACTGCAAAATTTCCAATAGAGTTAAAGCATTTTAAAATTTTAAATTATTAATCTCTGATTGGATATTTCAAATTTTAAAAAATTTGAATAAACCATTAAGCGGTTGTTTTTTTTAAATTTATTAAAATTATTGCTATTTTAAATAATATTTATATATAATTAAAATATTAATACCCTTTACTGTAAGGTGGTTCCAAATCGAAGGTGTGAAAGGTCAAATTCAACGTTTCAAAGTCTGTTCCGATAAAATGATAGAAACACTCTACATCTTTAGGGTATTGTTCTGGATAGTGAGGAGAAGAAAAATTTCCAACTTTTCCAAATCGACTGTCGAATTGATAAAGACAAGAAGCTGAAAATGTAAATAATATTTAAATTTTAAAAAAATATATTTTAAATAGTTAAATTTTAGTTACAATATTGTACTTTAGATGGCGCCACTTACCGAATACCTTCCATTGGATTGAAACCAGAAAACTATAAAAGACGATCTGTATGAAAGTCATCTATAAATAACAAGTAAATAATTAATTTATAAATATTATATTTATAAAACATATAATTAAATTCTGACATAGTTCGTTTAAGATACGTATTTAAACTAGCCAATAAAACTAGTTTATATTAAGCCAATCATATAGCTCTATTTGAATTTTTAAAATTCAAATTTTATTTAAACGAATGATCGATTAAACTTATACAATTTATATTTTATTAATTACTATAAATTTATTTTAGTTATTAATTTAAACACTATTCAATAAAATAAAATTTAAAAAATATATTTTTTTACGTCATTATATCGGATGTCACGTGCTTCAGTTGTCGTCTAGTTTAAAGCAGACGACAACCGATGTTAGTAAAAATTCTCTAAACACAATATTTATGGTTTCTTCTTTCAATTTTATCATTTTATTTACTTTCGTAAATAAATAAACATATTATATTGTCTTTTAAATTTTTAAATTTAAATCAGTAGAGGTTTTATATTCGACCAATTAGATTATTCCATACAATATTTCAAACGTAACCCGATTATAACCTTTAAAAGGTTAATTTAATTTTAAATAAATCATTAAGATGTTATCTTAGAAATGAATAAATAATATTTTCTTATTTTATTTGCTTCAAATTTTAAATTATTGAAAACAATATGGCGATTTTAATACAAAATATTACAATTGAATCAAATGATCGAAATGTTTATATATTTAAAATTAATATAAATA